ATAAGGGTTGAGCAGACATAATCACCCCTGTGTTCCTCATACAACCTTCTGGGACCTTCTGGCTGCACTGGGACACAGCAAGAGAGCCCTGTAGAGAAGATCCTAAACAGGACAGAGCACTCGCCATCCAGCTGTCTCATTCCCCAGGTAGGAGACAACGTGACCTGGGGTAACAGGGTGTGTTGTTGTCTGCAGTGTTGTTTGGAACAGTCTGCAGAGCAGTGYAATTGGCACAGATAGAGCAGGGAAAGGTGAGGACGTGGTTGGGATGAAACAGAAGGTGGCGAGATGGCCCTGGGGCCTAGCACTGCTTGGTGACTGCTGGGATAGTCAGGAGGCCACGGAGTTCAGAATTTGAATATYCCATGCTGGGTGTTTGACTGAGGCCATTTCTGTCCCTGGGTGCCGTGCTGGGGGGTCCCATGCCTCCCTGCCCGGGGAGGTGCAGTGGTGGAGAGACCTGTCCCAGCACCCTGGCTGCCCCTGGGCCGGCCCCGGCCCTGGATGCCGCGTGGGGCTGCGCGTGGGGCTGCCGCTTGCTGACACTGCTGCCGTGCCAAGCCCCACAATTACCTGCAAGCTGCTGACACTCATCCTGACCCAGATCCCTGCCAGGGAGCCCCAACGTGTCTTTATCAGCTCTCTCAAGTTGCATTTCCTCTTGACCTTTTCCTGCCTTTATGGGGCTCAGTAGCAACACAGTCCCAGCGCCAGAAAGGTCTGTTTTGAGAGGAGCACTCAGCAGAGCAGCCCTGCAGCCATGGCCAGGGAGCAGGCACACCGGTGGGGCTGCTTTCTTGTCTGTAGGCGAGATGGGAGTTGAACCATGTTGCTCTGGACAGGCCCTTATGGAGCCTTCCCTTGCTGTGTTTACCAGTGTTGCCCAGCACAGACCACCAGCAGCTGCTGTGGAGGGCAGGGCTCTGCCCATGTTCCCCTTCATGCCCCAAGTCTCTGGCCCCTAAAGTTCTCCAGTTACCTCCAAAGAGAGCAGAGCAGGGCATTATCGGGGGCTGAGTGGCGAAGCAGCTGGGAGATCCAGGTTATTCACCCAGAGCCCCAAGGATTCAGGCCAAGCACAGCTGTAGAGCCTTGCTCTTGCTTCAGTTGGAATTTTCCCAAAAAAATCTAGTGGGAATTTTCTGTGAGGGAGATGAAAACAGCCAGGGTCACTTCCTCACCTCGCATGTCCATGGGCCAGCACCACGGCCCCCAGAAGCTGTTGCCTCAAGTCTCCTGAGCCCCTGTTTCTCCTATGGGCCTGTGCTGCTACAAACCCCCTGATTTTGCGTTTTCAGCCATCTTCAGAGGTGCCGTTCTTGTGGCTGGGCCCGGTTTTGGCACTGGCGTTTCTGGGAGCGAGGAGCCGTGTCCGGCCACGAGCTCGTCGAGYGCTGGCTGGAGCTCTGCCCTCGCAGCCCACGACCCGAGCGCCGTGGCTGCCCGCGTGCTGGGCTTGGAGCAGCCCGAGGGCTGCGGGTGTAGCGCAAACGCTTGTCGAGGCGTTGGCACACGTGGGTGTTAGCCGGGTGGCCTGCGAGCGCGGGGACGTCGGCGCAGCCCCGTGACACGGCCGGGACCCGTCCTGCCGCTGCGAGGCGCGTGCCCGAGCGGATTTGTGTTCTGCAAGGCGGCGAGGTGGGCCCCTTCCTGGTGACTTAGCGGTGCTAATTGCAGCGTGCCGTGGGGACGGAGGCGGGCGGCGAGGCAGGGACACACAGCGGCGCGTTGAGCCGGCCACGAGGCCGGGAACGCCAGCACRTGGGAATGCCCGGAGCTTCTCGGCCAAATAATTTCCGCTTGGGACAGGGACTTGCCAGGCCGGCTGCCGGCTGAGCGGGGATGATCAGGAGACCATGAATCTTCGTAGAACCTGATTATCTGCTGGGACTTGTGTGAGGTCCTGCTTTTTTTCTCACTGCAGTGATTTGCCCCCAGTTCTGTGGTCCGCCCCTGTGCTGCTCGCTGAGGTACAAGCTAATGCACGTGGCACAGGATGGCTCTCCRGGACCCCAGGAGAAAAGCTCTTTTAAAACCTATCTTCTGTTGTGGGCTGGACAGCTCACCTTGGTCTGCCCAGAGGAGAYGAAACCCAGATTTGATGTGGTTGTGCCTCCTGCAGGTCTAACAACCTCAAAAAGCCCCAGGCTTTCCGGGACATGTGCGTATTTGCCCAGGTCTCATTCGGCTCACAGACGTAAACACAAGTGTCAGTGCTGAAGTCAGTAGGGAAACCTCTTAAATTGCTGTTCCCCTCCAATTTGCATCACGAGCTTTCCTGCCTAGTCATGCTCCAGGGTGAGATGGATTTCCTCCTTCAGCAGCTGGAGCCAGGGGAGGACATTCCACACRTGGGCCTCTGCAGCAAGGCTGCGTGGTCCCACACAGGCACAGGAACTCATGCACATCAGTGCTTATCCCTCACTAGCCACATGGCTTCTGGCCATCCTGCCCTCATGCACAAGGGTCTGCCAGGGCCTGCTGTGAGCTCTTGCCATCTAAGCATGTCCTGTCCCCAGGAGAGGAGCAGCCGTTGGGCCCACCTCCCATCTTGGACATGGATCCTCTGGAGGTCCCTTCCAACCTTAAGCATTCTATGACTCTATGACCTCCCGGCTGGCTCTTGGTGGCCACAGAGGTGTTGCCTGCACAAGCKCAGGTGGCTGCTGGCAGCAGGTGCTGAGCAGTGGAGCCCAAGGCCATGACAGCACAAACMACAGCCGTGTGTCTGCACGCTCCTTGGCATGAACCATGCTGTTCCACAGGGCCCTGCACGATCGATGATACCATCGGCTCCACCAATTTGGGTCCCTCCCAACAGGATGTGATGCTGGGAAGGGCGGCCACTCGGGCCAGGAATGCGCTAGGATCAGCGGTGGCCTCAACTCGTGTTGCTCACCTCTGGAGCAGGCAGCATGTGCCACCAGGAATGCTAGGAAGCTCTCCTGTGGCCCTCGGTTACCTGGGACTGCGCAGGCGTGTGTCACGGGGTGCTGGGTGACCCTATGGTCAGGTCACAGCGAGGTGGCACTGCAGGGGAAAGGCTGTGTGTGTCTGTGCGTGTTGCTGTGTGTCTCTGCGTGTTCCTGTGTGTGTTCTGTGTGCCTGCGCGTGTTCTGTGTGTCTGTGCGTGTTCCTGTGTGTGTTCTGTGTGTCTGCGCGTGTTCTGTGTGTCTGTGCGTGTTCCTGTGCGTGTTCTGTGTGCCTGCGTGTGTTCTGTGTGCCTGCGCGTGTTCTGTGTGTCTGTGCGTGTTCCTGTGCGTGTTCTGTGTGCCTGCGTGTGTTCTGTGTGCCAAGGGCTCTGCAGGGCCTCGGGCGGCGAGGCGGGAGCGTGTCCGTGCCACAGGGTGGAGCTGCACGCTCGCTGTGCGCGCTGCGCGGACGCCTCCACAAGGGCCACCCAGAGGCTAAAGGAAAGCCAAGGAGCCCGCCTAAAGCCAAAGCGAATGAGACCCTAGATCAGCCTCAGCCCCAGCTTTATGCCGACTGCCCGACCATCGTGTCCCTGATTTGATCCAAACCGCAGAGGTCCAAAACTTGCAGTCTCCAGGCTGCTGATGCCTTGTGGGAGGTGCTGCCAGTTTGGGGCTCACACTGGGACATGGGAGCTGCCCTAGGGACATGGTCCTGTTGGGAGGAAGGGAGGGGATGCCACTGATGCCACCCTGGTTCCAGGTACAGAGAGGCCTTTGGGCTGTCCTGGTTCTCTTAGATTCCCTTTGCAGCAGATCTGCTGAGGTGGTGTTTGCAGGACACCCTTTACCTGTTTCTTTGGGCTGGTTGTGCAGAGCAGGGCCAGGGATGGAGGCTCCAAGGTCTCCTGCTCAGCCTGCGGTTTGGAGCCGGACCAGGAGAGCAGTGGAGAAGCCCCAGAGCTGACTTTTCTCACGCCACCATCCTGCCCTGGCTGGGATTTGTCTTGGAGGAAGGTTCAGACTGCAGAGATGACCACAGGGAGCCACTGCCTTGCACTGTCTCCTCTTGCCCCTCAAAGAACAGGCTTAAGCTTGTCTTTAACCCAAACTAAATACCACCGGAACGATTCTTCTTCCTCTCATGAAGAAAAGAAAGGGGAAACAAATATGTTAATATACACAATCCTTCTTTTCATTTTAAAATGCTATAACTGATTCATTTTCCTTCCTTCCTTGGCCTTCTTAAGGAAACCTTGAGAAAAAAAGCTCAAAAAATGGAAGGGGCTCTTGACCATGGGGCCTATCGGGCTTTTGTTGTTTCTGAGCTGTTCTTGGAGGTAGTAACTCTTGGAAAATCTCTTTTTCAGTCCTTCTGCCATCATTTGGTTTCCAGGAGGTGGAGCTTTAAAAAGAGCGCAAAACAAAGTCACGATGCTCCGTAAGACCCAAGCGCCGCTTGACCTTGGTCCAGCTTTGTGCTGGATACATGGACGCGGCTGGGCCCGCGGGGGAACCGGCTGCTCCTACAGGCGCTGTTTTGCGCCGGGTCGGCAGCTGCCTGCGAGACAGCAGTTGCTATAAAGACTGCGGGTAAACGGCCCGTGGGAGCCCCACGGGGCAGGGCTTGTTCCACGGGGTGCCGCAGGGCTCAGGGTCCCTTGGGGCCCCCTTTGCTCGGGCGCTCCCCGCCGCTCGGGGCTGCTGGTCCCCACAAGGCAGGGCTGCGGCTCCCGGCCCCGCTCATGGCGCGCGCGGCGGCCCCACGG